TTTGTGTTGCTGAAGATGAGGGTTATACTGGGACACCTAGTGCAAGTACTTTGTGTTGTTGAAGATGGGGTTATACTTGGGACACATGGTACAGTACTTTGTGTTGTTGAAAATGAGGCTATACTGGAACACGTAGTGCAGTACATGTACTTTGTTTTGTTAAAGATGGGGGGGTTATACTCGGACATTTATTGCATTAGTTTGTGTTGCTGAAGATGGGGGTTATACTAGGACAATTGGTTCAGTTGCTTGTGTTGCTGAAACCGGGAGTTATTTTTGGATAATCGATGTAATAGTTTGTGTTGATGAATTTGAGGTTATATTAGAACCATTAATGCATTGTTTTGTGTTGCTAGAGCATTATACTATGTGTGTGTGTCTGTGATGTGCTGGATATGGGGTTATAAGACTGTTATTACGTTTATGATCGCATACTTGCAAAAAATACAGAATTTGTTTACACTATGTGTTATATGTGTAAGATGAGCCAATGTGCCATCTGGTGATGCAATTACACTTCAAACGGTGTCTACCATTCATCCAAACTGTAGATGTATTACCCTGACATTGCTGTGTATGCTTCACACCAACGGCTAAATTGTACACACACTGGCAGAATGTTTGTTTATCCTATCTCGTATCCGCAAGCCATGATAAATACCGAGCGACGTAATATGTCTACGTTGCCAAGGGCGGAATGACCTCTGCAGTTGATGTCACAGAAACAGCATGACGGGAACATGGCGGTGTCATGGCGGAATTTGTATCTTATATTTAAAAAAAACTATTCAATATTGCCATTGTACAGAGTGTTTTCCACTCATTTCAATTCAACATATAATAAAAAGGCCTCTACAGGTTATTGGCAATTTCATTGTTGCTGCAATTAACATTTTATAAAGTAGCTTATTTACATTGCCACAGACGGTCTTTATTGTCGGCCTCATTAATTCTCATCCGCTGTACACAAACACCGTAACTCCATGTGGCACAGAAACAAATTACTTAGTAACGATATGCGCGGGTAAAGTGATTAACCCCCGTATCCAAGGAGTGGTCTTTTATCGGTAGGAATTCTACTTATAAAAAAAATCGAAGATTATAGTTTAATCGGTCCGTTATAATGAATGGAACCTCGTGAGCATATCTCGCGATTTGAGAGGCGCAACCATATACGATTGTTTTAACAGACCCATACCGTGTGACGTGTACATTGTTTTAGGGTGTGTATAAACTGTCGCTGTCGCTATGTTGTTGAAGGGCTATTTATTATCCCCCTTGATGAGGTATTGTTAGTGGTAAATCAATGTTATGGTCGTGTGAATGTGGCGATGTATACGAGTGAATGACAGTCATGTATACTAGTACTATATACTTACCAGGAAGATCGGAATAGTCTACGGACTTCAATTTTTCCCGTATTGTACTCGTTGTTTTCAACATTCCTTCCATTAATTCTCGAATTCCCGGAGCCATGACCGCACACATTTGACTTACGGTTTCCAAGGCAGCGCGTGACTCTCCCACAGTTTGGTGTAGCTGATCATCGCTGTAGTCGTCGAGTATATCCTCGGCATCGGATTTTACTGCTTTCGTTAGCAAGCGACTGGGTATTTTTTGTCAGTTTTTTCGTACATGCCAGATTATCTGGTTTTGAATCGTCTTCGTCGAATAGATGCGACATTTTGGTGGATAAACTGTAAGAAAGGAAGCGCGGAGTCGCCCAGTAAACAGTTATGTACACTAGAATGCCTCTGTTGCACTCAACGAGTCGCCGTTGCTACAAACGAAAGCGGACTATTGAACAAAGCCATCTCCTATGTGATGTCAATATCTGCCGAGAGCGGATGACCCTTTTCTCCCATTGAAATCCACAGCTCTTTAAACTGCTTTGTCCAATCTCCTTGGCGAGGCTATCATTTGCATACTCAAACGTTAAATTATGCGGTGACCAATTTCTAACGCCCCTTTTGACCGAGTCAGTGGAACAGACAGAGTGGGTACTGCATTTGCCGAAGTGATTACGGCTCGTCACTGTACTGTCAGCCGTTGCGTTATGTTCGGGCTTGAACTAGACGTTACTTGAAATCACCCAACAGACAGCGTACAGTTAGTAAATGGAAGGGGAATCGTAAGCAACTGTCGTAAATATACGTTTATGTACGCCAAACTAGACCACTGTCGGACTGCAATGTTGCTAAGCAACCGGGAAACTATAGAAAACATTACAGAGAACTCAAAGAAAAACACGGAGCTCTTGAATTGATGACGTCACTAGCGATGCATAAGATAGTACGAAAGTACGTGCTGGGCTTATTCCTTAGTCCTTGTAAGAGGTGTTTGTTCATAGTTGTGGAGGCTATTTAGACAAACAGTGTGCTATGGTATTTGTTTTACATGTGAATGCGTTCAGGGCCTTACTTGTATCATCTATATTGGGTCCTTTGTTGACAGAATGTCTCCCCGAGCAGACGATGTCTATCCGATATAGTTTCCTCCTAAATATAACGACGATTATATCATTACAACATTTGCATATTGAATCGCGAGGAGAACATGAACATATATGTGCGTATTTTAGAATAGAATAGAATAGAATAGAATAGGATAGAATAGAATAGAATAGAATAGAATAGAATAGAATAGAATAGAATAGAATAGAATAGAATAGAATAGAATGGAATGGAATAGAATAGAATAGAATAGAATAGAATAGAGATGTAAGGCTAAAAATAAACAAATGAACAATATGTCTGCCAGTGTCTGTATGTACGTATTTCTGTTCTATTAATATGTCATTACATAAATAACCATGCAGAAAGCATCATTTTAGGCCCTGTGGAACTGAACAACCAGTATCAACGATCTCATCTCATATAGAGGGCGGCCGGTCACAATCGTATACGACATGGTTTTCATGCGACCGTGACATGTGCAATTTCCGAAGGCCGCTGCGTGTTGGAATGTGTCTTAGCAATAAGGCTAGTTGGAGAATAGCGCCCTCAAGGCATTCGATACTGCTACAAATGAAAGTCAGCTTCTGAAGTTTTACTTCTGTCATAAGTACACTGTAGGTGCTAACTACACGTGCGGTTGTTTTCTTGCGGCCATTTTCAGAGCAACGCTCAGTATTCGACGGACGATTTAAAGGCGAACGATTCGGCCTTGGGTGCTTGGGTGTTTAGATTGATTTTCACGAACAATGTATTCTTGAGCGTGTTCAACAAAACTGTCACGGTGAAGCCAGATTTAACATGAACGGCTCTTTTAACTCACGTTGCGTCAAAAAGATTTAAAATTGTATTTTTTAATTCGCGCTTCATTTCGGTATGCACAATACCGTCATGGGCATTATTTTTATCCAGAGAATTGAGAAATAATTAAAAATGTGTTAAAACTCGACATACAGTGATACGTGTTACAAAATTGTCATCCATATACAATACAAATAATATAAATATGCCGTGCTTGTATAAACCTATCCTATACTGCGACTAATATGTGAAGTATCTTTGATTCAAAATTCGAATTTCCGCTGCACGACGTACTTGAATGAGGGCGCTTTATATACCATATTGAAGTGTACGTTGCCGAGTGTCCCGGGTCGTCTAATATAGTGATTACACATTTAAGGGGATATTGCTGCAATAGTACTGGCTCAAGTGCGTTCGGGATACTTGAAACTACCTTTTTAATGAAACATGCATAACTAGATTCCCACAATGCATCTCACCTGTTACACTGTTACGTAGTCATTATGTGTTACCATGGAATTAGTGTTACTAGTATATGTGATCAGGAAGTCAACTTCATAATTCTCCACATAATTTTACGGTTAAACCATACTATAACGTCTGAGATGATTACATTTACTGTACAAGCCGTAAAAGCTAGTTTTGCTTGACTTTTTGCAGAAAATGTTCCTCCAGTTTATACATATCAAATAACACACCCTTTACGTTTTTGAGTGTTCTGGGTGTTATCAATACAAGTACGAATACCCTCAATTTGTTCCCTTTCACATACTGAACTAGTACACTGTAGAATACTTTTTTTTCGCTTGAAATTCATTTTCGCTATTTTCGCTGAAGGAATAATTCAGTGAAAATAAAATCCAGCAAATATACTTTTTTTCCTATATTTTACATTGAACTTGTCAAAAATTAGTGAAAATAAATTCCATACACAACACAGTTAAAATGTCTTCTCATGTTACGGGTTCAGAATAGGTCAAGGTTCAAGTATCTTCGGGGGCGGAGCTACGTCACAGACGTTCCACGTTGCTAAGACGCGCACCACTGTACCACGTGGAGCCGGTGAAAATTCGAGAAAACAACACAAACTCAACTTTGAAGCAATCCTGAACAACCAAATTCTCATATGTTACATACGTAGGGCTAATCTTGTTACACTGTTCAGGGGACTCTCAACAACCATCGCAAAGTACCGTTTTCTGCGAGTTTTTGGTCTTTGTTTTCACCGCGAGGGTTGCCAGGCGGTAGAAAATGCCCGGATGTCCGCCCAAAAGAAAATGATGACTTGAGAGTGCTATAGTCCTGATCACCCTTTGACCTGTGACTGGTATGATTGGAGACTATTTTCATAATGCTATATTGAATGAAAGAAAAACGTAGATGTTATGGTTCAAGTGTCACAAAGAGGGCGTTTTCATGGGGCGTTATGCGTTGTTTCGTCGTAGAGGGCGCAATGCAACAATCTATTTATAGATTTCGACGACAGTGGGGATTTCCAGAGCGATGCATTTCGCGGAAATACCACGTAATCGTTTATTTCAGCGATTTCACTTTCAGCCGAAGTTGAACTGAACACACTGTGAAAACTCGGTTACGTCTCGGGATAAGGTAATGCTATTTGTATTAAGTGTTTGTGTGTATGTACTGTGTTAGCTTGCAATTTTAGCAATTTTATCCTAGGTTTTGCTGGAGTTCGTTTTTTTATTTAAATCGCCGGTAGGTTTGCTTCGTCTGTCGTCGTTGCGAAACAGTCATTTCACGACAGACGAGTCACTCTCAATTATACCGAAAGATGGGGTAGCCCATGGAACTACAAACCCCAGAGTCAGCTGGCGTGTGCGTCCGGGTGTAGATAGCCCCGAGTACAGTCCCCTCCATGAGTGGGGCCGAGTGATCAGCGGAAGAAGGCCAACCTACAGGACTGTACTCAGGGCTAGGGTGTAGAAAGAAACGTCACATCCCAGCTGACTATTCTGTGAATGTAGTCTCTTTACCACGAACTTCCACCTATGCACTGAAAATTAAGTGTTGAGCTGCCTCTTAACACGTTAATAGAGTTGAATATCACGAGTATTCTCACCAACATTGTGTAATTTGCACATTTTGTGTATTTCATGTTTTATAGTTTCTTTGCTAATACAGTAAATGGCACAAAACTGTGCGTTATAAATAAATAATTCAAAGTAGATGTTAGAATTCAAATTGACCAATTTGAAAGTAATATCCCGACATCTACTTAATATTTCTACTTAATATTAATGAGTTAGTTCAACATTTTCAAATCAACAAGTGCCTCATTTTGAATATGTGGGCGGTCACAGTTGCTATGTCACGTGAAGGCATGTGCGTGCATTATGGGTATGGGTGAAAAAAATGTTTAACCTCGATATATTTGAATGAAATCTGATGATCTGCTTTTACAAATTTTTATAAATACATTCATAAGTGAAGCTCTAGCTTTGTGCCTTTCATTGTATTAATGCAGGTGTATTTTAACGGTAGCAAAACTAATCTTTGTCGCTAAACGTGTTGTTCTTTCCTCTGTAGAATCATGGGAGCCGAACAAAGCAAAGGCAGTACAGGTGAATCAGATTATCCCATAGAGCATGAGGTGAGCAGTACATATATAGCTAAATGAAATATACAGAGAATATTTAAAGGGCGGTAGTTGTCGCACCACGCATGCATGCGCAAGATATATGGGTCTCACATAAACAAAGATGGCTACTTTGATTGTTGCACAGATCAATGAGTACAAACTGAGACGTTACCAAGCTTTAATTAGGTATTTTTAGGTGATTAAAAGGTGTTGAAGGAGTCGTACAGAGTACGTCACATCCAGGTCAAACCTCATACTTGTGATTTCCATTAGAAGAGCGCATTGGACTGTGGGAAAAATCAATGCTCATCAACACAAATGTTGCACATGCGCAGGGCAACGACTGCTGCCCTTTAATGAGTTAACCGTGATATTAAATTTATTACATGTTGAATATATTTGATATCATATGGGTCAGGAATTTGATCATCAGAATTGTTATTTATGTGGATTATTAATTCCATTCATTTTTTTTTATTGAAGAACATTTTGGGTATGCTGAAAACTGTGGGTAATGTTGGCTTGTTTCAATTGCCAATATCACATTGATTAATGGTTTTTTAATTTGATTTCTGACACCTCTGTTGTGGCAAATTTGTTCAAATACATACTGCGTGTAGTTGATCCTGTGATGATGCTACTCCCTTCAACTTAAAGGGGAACTAAATAGAGTCTATTTTGGTGTTTGTATTTATCAAGTTATGTATATTGATTATAAATTTGAAAAAAAAATTAAAAAAAATGATTATCTTCAGAGTTATGATGATTTAAATATGAGAAACCATAAACCTGCGAAGGACTTCCAATTGTGCCATCTTGCCATAAAAAACGCCCTCATGAGGTATAAACAGGTAAGGTAACAAAGCATGATGACGAAATAGTATCTGATTAAATATAAGCAACTTAGGGAGCCATAGTTGGCTGGACTGGTGAATTGACTTCTAGTTTAGGTTGTTTCGACTTTTACGTTAATGTTATTTACAAGCATATCAACATACAAACATTATGGATGTGCGATTGATCGAGACAGGCATTATGTTTTGTTTTTTGTCTAACTGTCTAATAAATGCTGTTTCCAGTACTGCATTGTGCGGCGTGCAAATTATTCAAAGTATAGATGCTGGAGTATGCAATCTTGAGTTCGTAGGTGGTGGTGGAAACATTTTCGTCCATGTATTCACGGGGCTGCACTGGCAAATCATGGGACAAGCGTCACAGGAACACCAGCAGATTGTAATTTGAAATAAAACTATCATCCCACAAAGGGGCATCGTCGACGA